CATACCTGTAGCACAAGACGTGGAGCATTTACACATTTTCTGAATGTAGGTGTGTAAATTGTATCATAACTATGTATCAGAAGTGACTTTATCACTTAGTGCTTCGTCTTTCACAGGTAGAAATATTATTCCAGAATACTACTATAACACTTGGTCATTTCTAAGAATGAGTTATTTAAGGTTGCTTAAGCAATCATATCCTTGACAAGAAGTACAAAACATTCCTGGCTTACTCTACCATTTCTTATCCACGCAGAAGGTACCAGCCAGCAACACACCAACAAAGACACACTCTCCTTTGAAGCCCTTTGAAGTTTCCACCAGACTAAGGAATTGTGGACTGGAGTGGTATTTCAGTTCACATCCACAAATGCAACTGTAATTCATACACGTCATCACCAAGACGTGGAGGACAAGCAGAAAAAAGGGCAAGACCTGCATAGGTAATTTTAAAATATACTCCTTTCACTTAGATGAACGTAAACTTTTGAGTGGGTTTGCTTTTTTTCATGGATATCTTTCTGTATATAATGTTCTCCCATCACATCTTTCCCCCTTTTATGCTGTTTCTAACATATACCAACAGTTCCAGCTTCACACAACCCCTCCATATCAAGACTGTAACTTGACACTACCACGGTCTTGCTTCTTGTACAATACACAAAATCACAGACAATAAATCATCTCACTTGGGGCCCAAGAGAATTTTTGTACAGACGTTTCTTTAAATGGGTGCAACTCCTAGACCAGAATTAATCTGGCTTGTAATTTTTAATTATATTAATTAGCATGCCTTTGAAAAGGCAGCTTCGGAACATCGATGTAACATATTACTTAAGTCACGATGAGAGCACAATAAAAGCTTTGTTTCTCTGTTGAGCAAAAGACAACCAATATATCCATCCATGGGGCAAGTTTCACACAGAAGTGCAGTGGACTATTTCAAATAAATTCTCTGACTGTTCAAACTGAGGAGTTCTTCAGCATCTCCAGGGCACTGTCATAACAGGCTGATGTGCCACCTCCCTGAACTGGGGACAGCTGGAATGAAGCACAACGAGACAGGCGGATGGGGACACATGTACAATGCGTTCAGGTGACACTCAGTTAACAGAGGAGGCACAGGGAGGCTATTGCAGCAACCTCAGTTGCAGAGAAGCCATGAGACATCCCTAAATTGCGCTTTCAAAACCTGCTGTCCCCAACAGCTTTTGGAAGATTATGGGAGCACAGCATTGGGTTAAGCTCATGTTTGTGATCTCTCGTCTCATTTTGTGCCTACAGCCTAATCAAATGAGTATCCAGGCCAAAAGGTTTTAAATTAATCCCTCCAAATAATAATAATAAAAAAATCCACTAGATCCACTGAAACATTTTATCTGTGCCTCTAAAACACAGGGAAGTACGGAGTATGAAGGGTGCTCTGTATCTCTTCAGGTAAAGGGGTAAAAAATATGTTATGAATCTGTCAACATCAACAAATCAAATGTGCTTTTATCAACACCAAGAACTTGTGCTTATTTCTCATGCTTTCAACTTATTAATTTAGCAAGTGCTAAACATCTTTTTTTAGAAGACTGAAGTGTATTTTGTCCACGGTTTTAGAAACTTCGGGAGAAAAGATATAAGGCATCTACTTTACTGTTTAAAAATCCCAAAATGTAATAAACTGGCAAATTATTTCCTGCAGCTATTAGGGAACTGTGTAAGAACAGAAACAGGAGACAAGGATTAAGAAAAGGGACACATCTGTTCTGCAAAATAAAGTCTTTGAGGAACTACTAAAAGTAAGAGAAACTGGGAAAAAAACAGTAAACTTGTATGGAAGAACAGCAGAAGGCATATTGCCAACAGATGGTGAAGAACTCATAGACTAAAAAGGAAAACAAACTTGAAAGCATACTCAATTTTGAGGACTTGAGAAAAAAACAAAACCAAAGCTAACTCTTTCCTAATCACAGATTCACTGGTTAAAAATGGAGCTGCATGTTCTTTGCACTTAGAAAAACAGTTGTAATTTCTGGGTTCTAAAATGGTGGCATTCAAAATTAGCACCTGTCTATGAAAATGCTGGTCCACTCTTGAAATCACTTCCTTTTCCCCTGCCATAAAAACACACTCTTTTTTTTTTTTGGTGTGTTTAAATTATTTCCCATGTTAGCTGTTAAGCTCAATGCACTGGAAAATATCTGATGCCTTAATGGGCCACTTTCTCATTAACTCAGATACCTGTTTAAAAAGATGCTTCCTCTCCTAGGCATTTCTGCTGTAGCTTATGACACATACTGCCACAGAAACCAAGAGAAAGGCATTTGCAGAGCCTCTGAACAGCAGTTATTCCCTGTTAATCCATGTGTCCATACTGTCAATCCAATTTTTCAATCTCACTTTTGGAAGCAGGAATTTTACACAGCCAATTCAACAGCAGTCACTGATAAAAGAAATTTGACGTACAGTACTGGAATTATTATTGGGGGCGCATTTTGCAGCTGGAAACCAACAAACAGCTAAATAAAAACCATGGCAGGACACGAAAAAGTATTTTAAACGTCAAAACAATACAGAAGTTAGTTACAAGAAACACAGCAGTCATCTTCTACAACTGTGTGTTTTCACCCAACAAGCCTCCTTCAGTTTGCATACCCTGCAAGAGCTATTCAGGAAGTTGACACATCGTTGCTGCAAACCCAAGAGAAGCAAACATAGCAGCTTTTAGTCTCTTCTAAACGATGTCCATTTTACAGCTGACTTTTCAGCAGCTAGTTTTAAAACTGGTCAACTTCCAGTTTCTTGAGGCTAGCTGCCACAAGCAAGTTTCCAAATTTGTTTTATCCTCTTCCTTGCTTTCAGTCCTAATGTCTATATATTACACATTAATTCTGGATAAGACACTGTAAAAGAAGCAATTATCCAAAACAAGGGCAAAACTCCTGAATTCCCATTTGTAACACTGAATCTAAGCTGCCACTTGAAAGTAAAAATAAGTGACCTATGGCTAGCACAACAGCAACAATGGGGCATCAGGAATTTGATCATATTTGGAGTTTTTGCACATCTTGTAAACAGTAAACGATTTAAAATCATAAATCCCCTCCCCTCAACAAAGTGCATGAAACACTGCATGATATCGTAGGTAAGGCCTTTATTTTTTTTCTTCTTTTTTTAAAAAAAATCACTAACCATTGTGGTTTAAAATCTGTGGAAAGGGTAGCTTTGACTTTGCCTGTGAGACATGAAATGCTACCTTAAGGTGAAGCTTTAGGAACTGCCAGGATCAGTGGAGGAGCTTTCAGGACAGCCAGCGATGTCTGAGACAGCCAAGTGCCTGTGGGCACATCACCTGATGCCACCCAGCTCTATTCAAGTGAGGGAAGTTTTGCTCTGAATACATTTACTCGACAGGAGACACCTGTAGGTTCATTTATTTTACTCTCTATCATGTTGTCAGTCAACCATCCACATTTATGAACAAGTTCTTCATCAAGAGAAAATTCTGAAAACCTCTGATGACAGAGGAAGTGTCATTACCTACACCGACATCCACAAAAGAAGGCCTGCATAAGGCATATACTTGATTTGTGACTCTTACAAGAGCTAACAGATTGTTTTCAAAGGAAAGAAAAAAAACACAACTCCAAAAGTCTTCCTAGAATCACGGATATTAATGCAATAAATTGCACAAACTTTTATGCTGATTTGACAAAAATTCAATGCAGTCCTAAACCCCATGGACAATTCAGGCTTAATTTAGAACGACACAAGCTTCAAAAAAAACTTCTCTCTGCCAGCAAGCACTTTTTATTTACTGGACTTCAGCAGAAGCAGTTCAGAAGAGAGACAAAAAATTCCCCACACCACAGAATTTATTCTAATATTCAGCACAAAACAAATAGGGACACGCTGCCAAGAAACACCAGTGCAGCTTCAGGGCACCGGCAAGGGCTGCTACATGTCGGGTTTCTCCTCAACACTTCCAGGGCTCCTATCAGGCTGTAATTCTTGAACGTGCTAAAGTGTCACGTCTGTCCGGCTAAATACTTCCTGCAATTTTGTTAATTATACATCAGGGTCTGCAACTACGGAGTGACTCCCATCCTAGAAAACGTACAGCTCCCAAGTCACACCCCCCACCCCAAGAATTTGTGTCTTGTCTGTCGTTTCTATGGATTTCTCTGGAATGTGTGCTATTATCCCACACAGGAAAATACTTTCAAAACTCGAACAGAATGTGCAGTTATATCACGGGATGGTTTTCATTTCTCAGTGCTATAGACGGCTTGTTCGGGTCAATACACATTTCTGTAGGTGGAGATCACAGGGAGCAGACAAGTGCAATCCCAAGTTCAGGTTCCCTCTCCCTGTCCATCCCTTCCAGGCGCTTTCACACCAACGCCATCCCCCCTACACATCAGTGTTACCCTCCGCTGTCAGCAGAGCTATCAAAGCCAATACCCGGCCTTTCTCTTCCTTCTCCCTGATTCGTCACCAAGACGTAAATTAACAGATTCTCTCTGAGACAAAAAAAAACACAAAACCCGAACAATGGGAAACACTTCCCCGCCGGTGCCCCACAGGACAGGGGGAAACAAGATCCCTGGCGCTGGGGCAGTGAGTTACTGGGGATCTGATGCAGCTAAAAATACGGGAGCGGAGCGGGCGGGCCCGGACAAAGCCCGGGCAGGGTCCGCGGTCCCGTCCCGGGGCGTCCCCCGCGCCAGACGGTGATGTCACCGCCGGCGGCAACAAAGGACGCGGCCCCGGCCGGGCGGCCCCTGCCCTGCGCCTCCCGCCTGCCCGGAGCGGCCGGAGCGGCCGAGACAAAGCGGCTTCCCCCGCGCTACGTGCGGGCGGAAAGGGAGAGGTTCGGGCCGCCCAGCGCTGGAGGAGAGCCGGCGGGGAAGCGACGGCCCCGCCGCGCCGCGGTCCGGTCCCCGCCTGGGCAGAGCGGCCCCCGCGCCCCCCGCCGTGCCCCGGCACCCCCGCCCCGCTCCCTGCCCTACCTGATATGGCGGCGGCGGCTCCTGATCCGGCTCAGCCCCGTCCCCGTAGCTGGCTCGGTCCGACTGGGACTCGTGGAGCAGCGAGATGTCATCCGAGGTGGGGGACTTGAGGCAGTTCCCCATCTTCCCCCGGGGAGCGCGGCCCCCCCTCCGCCTCCTCCCGCGCCGGCGGCGGCGGCGGATCCGCGCCCTCAGCCTCCCCGCCGCAGCGCGCAGCCCGCAGCCGCCCCGCCGGGGAGGCTCATGCCAGCCCCGGCCCTAAGCGGCTTAGCAGCACCGCCCGGCCGCCTCCCGCTCCGGTCCGCTCCGCAGCCGCCCCGACCCCCGAGCCGGGGGGGCGGCAGGACGGGCCTCCCACCCCCCGTGGGGCAGCGGGCTCCAGAGGGTCCGCCCGCCCCGCGACAGCTCGGCGCGGTTCTGCTTCCCGGTCACCAGCTCCCTGCGCACTGGGCTTTGTCGCACGGGCCGCCCTGGCTCCTCCTCTCACCCCTCCCCGCCGGGCCCCGGGAGCAGCCGCGGGGCCCCCGCTCCGCTCCGCGCCCCCCGCCCAGCCCCGCGGCGGGGACAGCCCTGCCCTCCCCCGGCGGGACGAGGCGGGACGGGACGCGGTAGGGGCACCCGGCCGCCCGCTGGGCTCCCCCGGCCCCAAAATGGTGGGAGCCGCTTCGCCCCGCCCCCAGCGCGGTGTTTGTTTGTGTTCCGGCCATGGCGGAGCCGCCGCCGCTCGGGCCCGCCGGGACGGGATGGGATGGGACGGGAAAACACAGGACAGGACAAGGCAGGGCAGAACAGGGCAGCTCCTCCGTGGCGGCTGCGGGGACCCCCCGCACCACCCGGCCCGCCACGGCTGCGGGTGGTCTGTGCGAGGCCGAGGAACCTTCCCAAGGGTTCCCCCGCGGGTGGGTTCGCGGGCAGGGAATCCCTGTGCTGATCGCTGGCGCGACCCCAATGGGCACAGGCCAGTGTAGGGACAGGGCACTGAGCCCCAGTGTGGGGCAAAACCAGCGACTGTCGCTTGGCTCACTTTTACATATCTACAGGCTTTTTATGTGATTAGCAGGTACTAATATAAACCATGTATTTCAGTTCCTTTTCTTTCTTCAAAAATGTATTCATGCTTGGATATAAATATAGGTAAGTACAGATAAATGCAAATTTCAGGAGAGCGAATGCCCCTATGTCACTGTTGGTGTGCCAGCCCTGACCCACACGGAGGGGAATGGCACTGCCTTACAGGATAGTCCTGTAAGTGTTCTTTCCAGTTTTGTCATATGTGTTGGTTCCTCAAAATCCCTCTTTGGCTTTGAGGTCCATGCTATGGAAAAAAATTTTAAATCCATTTTTTAAACTGAAGTGCTTTTTAAAGGGAAGCAAATTTAGTGCAGAGGAGACCAGCTGGAAAGTTCTGTCTGTAAAGCTGTACAGCGTGGCTGCTTCTTATCAGCAAGTTCTCTGCTGATACGGGTCAGCCCTGCTTTGCACCAGACCTCCCGTCTGGATCAGAGTCTCTACAAACCTGTTGCTCACAATGCCGAGTTTGGCTCCACAGCCTTTGCTGGTTGGACGTCAGTCTGGGAACAGACTTTTTGCTGATTATCCATATAATGTCTTTCTTGGAGATTTCATTTTATTGCTGTTTAGGGAGTTTTACTGCTTATCAATGGATAAGTTAAACAACCACAGTGTAAAATCTGTCATTGCTGCCATTTATGGTGTTCAAACACAGTTTCAGGCTTTTCCAGGAAACTGAAACTGAAAATGGTGCAGGAATTGTGAGTGTTGCTCAAGATACAGAGGCTTTGCAATGGCTGGTTGTAAATAATGACTGTTCTACATGACTTGCTCATTTGGGTGTTTATCCAATGAGTCTGCTGGCTTGGTTTAACAGAATTGGGCAAGCAGTTGTTGGAGAGGATTCAGCCTCGCCCAGTCCTGATTTCAAGGTTAAGGCAATGTCAGAGCTGTCTGCTGTGAGAACCTGGTGGTGAAACTCCAGCGCTGTTATTGGTATTTTCAGCTGTGCAGTGGCAACGCTGGGAATGAGATTATGGGCAGCTAGAAAGACTTCTTTATTTCAGCTGACATTTCATAATTTTTTCTCTCTGTGAGGCTTTGGCCTGTGTCATTGGTGTAGCTCAGTGTAGACCACAGGTATGTGCCACACTGAGCCTTGGAGTCCTGATCCTGTACAGTGAGGAGGTCCTGTGGGAGTATACGATGCCTCCCTGCTTGCTGACATGCTGAGATTTCCTGTCTGTGGAAACCAAAGTGCAAACATGGGTCCCTGGTCTCATCCTGATACACAGTCAGGACACAGATGGGATATGCTCTGGGTCCCATGGTATAGATGTTGCATTTATCTACCTTGAGGCAGATCTAAAGGAATAACTGCTAAGCCCAGTTAAAACTTTCCCATTGGTAGGTACAGGGTGCTTACTTGAAATCTGGGCACATTTAAAAAATACAGACTTGTTAAGTGTCAGAAGAGATCATCTTTTCTCGGTGGACTCACAGAGACCAAAGAGGAAGCAGCAGTTCACATTTGTCTTTGCAGCACAACAGGCTGCACCTGTGAGAGCTCTGAATGACAAAGAGCTGCTACCAGTCATGCCTGGATTCTTGGAATTATGGATGGTTGAAGCCACTGGTTTTCTAGGCCATTCACTCCTGTTACATCAGGTAGGTTGTTAATGATGGCTTTGCATCACCAGCTCAAAAGTTCTATAGCAGTCCAGAAAATAGAAAATGGAAACATTCTTGTGTTCACAAGTGTTGTTTTTAAATATCCCTGCGTATGCTATGGTGTGGCTGTGAGCCTACTCCTTTTGATACCCTTTTATGCAGGCTAGGGACAAGAAAGCAGCTGAAGAGCTTTTCAAGGTGAAGGTCGGTTGTCCTTATTGCTTCAATAAGCAGTTGATGTGAGAGTCTTTTGTCCAGAGAACACACGAGATGTTTTCACCATTCATAAGTTGCAGGAGATTGAACAGACCTGGCAGACTTCACTGTACCTGCTCTCTGTAGATCATATTGGTGAGCACAGAGGCTGTTTAGAAGGATCTGCTTTTTTGGAAACAGACACAGATCCTTGCACATGCAGAACAGTAGAGGTGCCTGTGGACCAAACAGAGTATAGGCCAAACCAAACCAGATCCTGGTTTATGAGCTGTCCATGCTGCAGGAGGTCCTTGTTCCATACAGATTTGGAAGCTCACTTGTAGTCTGTATGGTCTCTTTTTTTTTTTTAATCAGAGGATGTGATTTATGAGCACAGTGTCTTTGTTCTAGCAGAACCATGGGACAGTTTAACTGATTACTTCAGTTCTCTCTGGTTTTTATTTCCTCTCCTTAGGAACAACTTCCTCTCCTATCTCAAGTCTGATAACTTGGTTTTCTAGAGCCTTAATATGATCCTATAGAGGAGGAAAGATTCATGTAGTGGTTAAGGGCTGCAGATACTACAGGTAGAAAAGATGAAGGCAAATACAAACATTTGTGTCAAACTAATATCAATACAGAACTGGCAACCTAAGCCAATGAAACTTTTTCTCATCTGTAAACACTTAAACAGTTGGATGTAATCTGTTGTCAGAATAGAAATGGGGATAGTCTGAAATTTGCCAGTGTACAGGGTTCATGTTCTGGTACATCTCGATATACAATGTCATGCATATGTCAGTTCTAATCACTTTTTGGCAGCCAGCATCTTCTAAGTGAAATCTGTTTTTCAAAACAAAATGGAAATTCAAGAAAAACGTTTTTAAAGTATGCAGGCAAAGTTTGTTGTATTTTGTAGGTTTTTGATATGAGGAGAGACAAGTTATATAATGTTGTATTCCTAAGGCTTGTATGAGCTAGCCAGAGATGAGGAACTATCTTACTAAGAAATCCATTTCTTTTTGAGTTTAGACATCTAAAATCCACTGACAACATAAAACCCCAATAGTTTCTCTGCAAAATTGACATCATAAATTGCCTAATTTATAGATAAAAGACCCTTTGATTACATCATTTTACGTGATCCATGGTCATGTTATTGTTGGACAACATTCCGGATATATTTAATGTGTCATGCTCAACAAAAGTTTTTGAAAGACCTTTTCTGTCCTCAGCACGGAAAAGTTTTTTCAATTCCTTTTTTTTTTTTTTTCCATCGAGCTTACTTTCCTGGCACTTACCATCTCTTATTATGTCTTATCTTTCTTCTGGATAAGATTGTTTCCCCAATTCATATACAGAAGCCCAGTTAACTTCTGAGTGATCTCTCCATGCTATGGTACCCAGAGGTTCAGAGATAGTGCTGTTTGCTCAGGTAATGAGTGAGACACAATACTATTTTAAAACCTTTTTCTGGAAAAAAAAAAAAAAGACTTTGTATACCTCTGAAGAATGGAATTAAATTACATTCTTCTATTATATATGTGATTATGATTATGGGAATGACGGAATTAATTTATCTTATTATAAAGAACAGAGCGTCTTCTAAAATGCACATGAATTGTTTTTAGTTTTGTTCATTTTAGCTGAACCATAGAACCATTTCTCAGTATATATTACAACTGTATATTGTTTTCTGAGGGAGAGTGAATGCAGCTCTGGAAAGCAATTACGGAACTAATATATTTCCCTGAAATGCACTTTGTGATGCAGGATTTTGCTCATGTTTCTAAAAATTACTTAAACTTCTGCTTAAATTATCCTGGTATCACAAGTGCCACTTAAATTAATTTATCCCGAAGATACTATCTTGGTAAGGGTAAGTTTTCCATTACTGGCAAAAATAACTTGCCTTCCATAATAACTGTTTTCCCCACATCCAGCATGTTTTTTTCAGCAAGGAGTATAATGCCTGCCTATTCCGTGCACTGGGGCACCTACACTGTATGTCACAAAGAAGACAAAGGACATGTATTTTGGCACTGAAAAAACCCAGACAACAAAGCAAACAGTCATCATAAAAAAGTAACCTCTTCAAACAAACCCTCTGTCACCCAGCTTCCTGGTGAATTTTGTGTAGGAGTTCATTTTCCTTTTTCTCTGTGTACCGTGTGTTACCACAGTCTCAACTTCAAGAATGATCAGAGACCTATAAAACATGATCTGAGAGGAAAGGCTGAAAGAATTGGGGTTGTTTAGTTTAAAGAAAAGGGAAGTGTTGGGAAAAACAGTAATGATCTGCCAAAATGTACAATGTTTCTCTGCAGAGAGAAGGCAAAAGTTTTTCTTCATGTTCAGTGGGTCTAGGACAAGAGGTGATGGAATTGGAGTAGGAGATTTAAGGTAGACATTAGGAAATTATTTCAAACTGCAAGAGTAATTTGGCACTGAAAATGATTATCTGGGAATCTCATTTACTGAAGGCTTTGAAAGGAGGATTAGGTCACGTGTCTCAGGAATGGTTTTAGTTGCAGTAGATTATATGGAGATAACCCCAAAAAGGTTCCTGGCTGGTGTATAATGTTTTGTTTCTCTCGGGTGATTTACAACTGATGCTTTACTGCTGTGTTGTTTTGATTC